CTGAAAAGCCAACATAGATTTACTTCTGCACCCGATTTGAGAGACTCCCCAGGCATCTATCTGCATGTTTATGCAACCTTGATCTCTACAGCAACCACGCATGATGCACATAGCTTACTATCATCTCCAGAGTGGTGGCAACAAGCACTTTTCTACCTATGATCATATATTTAGTACAAATAGTCTAAACTATGTGGAGATTGGAATTCACGTTCTCATGTGTAGAGATGGAGAAAGAAGGTTTTGAGAAGGAACAGGGTCAGAAGCAGGCAGCAGGATATCTGCAACACGAGCCGCAGCTATTCCTATGGGCCTCACACTGTGGTAGGGATTACGGTGCTGTACTCTGAACCACCAACCTATGTACCCTCCAAGGCCATACAGGTGCAGTTGAAGCTGGCAAAAACCTAACCACTCTCTGGAGGTCTTTCTTCATGCCCTCGCAGGGGGACCTTGCAGAGACGCCCGAATGCAGCGCCCCATGGCAGCGTGCCTGCAGAGGAATCATGACAGCAGTGTTTGGATTTGGGCCTTCCGAAGCAAATGAGTGATAGGAAGATGTTTAGTTCTACCAGACAGACATATGTTCTTATTTCCTGCAGTCTTTTGCTTATCAGGCACTATATAATCTACTTGTATAGGAACAGGTCATTTGATAATTACATGTTTTTCCAATAGTGCAAACCAGTGTTAAAAAAAAAAATGCCTCGGAGGCCAGTTCAACTGCCAATTTTTGTGCAAGCAATTCTTCATTTCCTCCACATCAACACACCCACAGCCACTTATCAAACACTGCAGAAAGAAAGGTTCCTGTGATGTCAGTGCCTCAACATATCAGGACATTTCTATCTCATTTACTCAAGTAATACAATTTTTGGTTTACACCAACTAAGAATGTATTTCCCCAGTCGACTAGAAACTGCTGACAGGAAGAAGAAAAAAAAAAGTGAAAACTCTGCAAACTAATCCTCACTTCCCTTGTATTTTCCAAACAGCTCACAAATATCCTTAGAATTTGCAAAATACCATAGCAGAGATGAGTCTGTAAAATCCTAATGATTTTTTGAATGTCCTCAGCACCTGGATCTGATTGTATCCCAGGTACGCTCCATGCATGGCAAGAAGCACAAAGGACCTTGCTCTTACCCTGGGTAAAGGTGAGTGAGGGGATAGTGTCAAATGCTGCATCACCTGCTTACAGAGGGCCGTGATAAAGAAGGAATTTGGACTCTGTACCTTTCCGGTTTAAAAGCAAATCGTTAATGCTTCCTGTGCAGCAGGCTGTTTTCCTATGTAGTTTAGTAGATGACAAATTTGATAGGAAATGATTAAGTAAAAGCAAAGTGTGTTGATAAAAGACATATTCTTCTTCAAGGCTTCTGGTAATTTGTTTTTAACAAATAATGCAATCTTTAAGGAATTTATACACATCTTCAGCCTCTGTCAAGTCTGGTGCAGAATTTCCTGTTTTTGTGTTCTCAGAACTGCTAAAGTGCTGAAGCTGCCAGTAAAGACCTGGGCCGTTTTATCCAGAAGAGGTGGAGGCTGTGGCACATCCAGACTCATCACCGATACCCTCAAGCACGTGTGCCGAAATCAGAGCTCTTCCATGAACAGCCTCAAAAACGGGATCAGTTCCCGCAGCCGCATCTCATCAGTGCTGTGAACCCTTTCCACTTATCCCTTGTCATTCTATCTTTTTCCTTTGTGCACAAAACCACGGGTTTTGCTGCACTGTAAGTACTGACATGGAGGAAGGCCCCAGGTCCATTCTCACACTCGCTTCAAGCACCAGCAGCTCGCTTGCAACGCAGGTAAAACCTCAGCCTGTCATTGCACAGGGTCTCAGTTTGGCCGTGAGAAGGTTTCACCAGCCAAATAGCCAAAGAGGACCCGCAGAAGACCCAGCTGTGCACAAATGACAGTGTTTTCACACATATAACCCAAGAAGCAACGTCTTGTGTGCTCCAGCCATGCGCCTGGCGCCTTCCTCCCTCCCTGGCACCCTGGCGCCATTTTGTGGCCCCCGCTCCAATGCCATTTTGTGGCCCCTGCTCCAACGCCATTTTGCGGCCGCAGCCAAGGCTCTGCCCCAGGTGCCACCAGGTGCCAGCGGAAGGGACGATGGCAGCAGCCCCCCCAGAAGCCTACCTGAGTAGATGGCTCTCCTCAGGGCACGTCTGAGCGCACACACCGTCCATCTGAACCCTGCGCCTGCCGCTGCCTCAGTTTCTGCAGGAGACTCCTCCCGGTCCCCTCACGGGGCAGTGCCCCCTTCTCATGTCCCCCTCCACCTACGCCAGGCCTGGGGGCTGCGGACAGACCCCTACGACACCAGCAGGCTCTTCTTACCCTTTTGGAGACCTGGTAAGAGTCGGTGGTCAGTGCTTACCACAAAAAAAATAATAGCAGCTAAAGTGTAATTACATATTTTGTCTGTTCTGGTAAATAGTGGCAGTTATACACACACATATTGGGTGGATTGCTTTAATACTGAAAGCTGCCATGTTCTCTTCAGGCTGAGCATTTAACATTTGGCTGAGGGCAGTTCTGCCAGGGATTATCTATAAAAACCCTCTTGAAGTTTAATGAAGTTCAATGTCTGGACCACTTCCAAAGCAGAACAATTGGGCTCAAAAATACCTTCATGGCAGATAATTTGCTCTCAGGTTAGGGAAACCTGCAGCCTCGGACTCACTGCGATATCTGATCGCTTTTCTGCACTTGGCTTGCAGGGTTTGCGCACGGATAACTCGTGTTGCAGCGATGTGACAGCAAAGGGAGGCCTTCTTTACGCAAAAGGTAACAATTTTTACTCATTCTGTGAGTTATTTCTATATTTTTGAGACTGCATTTGGTTCTTAAAAATTCTTTAAAAAATGCCTGCAGGTAGCACACCTTAAGATCGCGGAAGCAATCTGCCTTGCTTCAATTCCACTCAAAGGGTCCTATGTACAAAAAGCTTATTTGCTGATAACAGAGCCTTAGTGCAGTGTAGTGGTTTGGCTACTTTTTAATTTGTCTTGGATTGCAGCCTTTCCCAAAGCTTTGATTTCCAAACGACTCGTTAAGCTTTACCGGGCCTGAACATAAAAGCTGCACTTTTATGTTTCTTACATGACATGTGGAATGCGGAAGCTCAACTTAGCTGTGGATGCGTCTCCTAAGACCTTTCTTCCTCTTGAGGCTTCATGTGCAGCCGCGTTATGGGAAGGCTGACTCTGCTTCTTCAAAGCTTTTGTTCCTCTTATCAGGGAGGAATCAAACAAAACGGGGAGTTTCAGTGCGGGAGGCAGTGCCAACACTAACCGTTATTTCATCTGCAGTAATAGCTCAGTGGCATAAGGACATCCACAGCCAAGCTGACTGTTTTTCTTGTTTCTCTGCCAAGAGGGTTTCCTGATTCCTGAAATCAGCCCCATTGCCAAGTGATATGGTCAAGTTATGTGGTCACCAATCCTACTTGCCTCTAGAGCTACAGACTTGCAATCGGTGTAGACCAAAAAGGTTTCTCCAGTTGTTTTCTTCCCCAGAAGACCTAGTCTATCTATTATAATAATAATAACTAGAATATAATTAATTACCTACAGCATATTTTAAACTGAAAATTGCTGAAACGCTACCTTAATATGGAGGAAATCAGACGAGCATGAAGACACTGTCTAGCAATTCTTCCTTTCTGGTAACAGTCACTCTGTGGATATGTGGCACTTTCATACCAGCATGTACCCACGGTGGTTACCTCGCTGCGTGTAATTTTACATGCGTTGATCTAGTTAAACCTCTGTGCTCTTCCAGCAGAGACAAAGCCTAAAGCTTTACTTTTGCAGCAAAACTGGATATAAAATGCCCAATCCTTCTCTTGTGCTGCCTTCAATGAGGATGCACAGAAGCCACTGGTCCTACACTGGTGTAGAAATAGGTCATTGCGAATCAGGTCTAAAATCTGTAAGCAGTCACTTTTGATTAATATTACTTTGTATGGCATTAAAGGCCCATTGTGCTATGGAGAAGAACAGAAAGTACCGTTGAAACTAGAAGATGAAGGCAGGGTTTTGTGTTCTGTACACAGAGAACCAGTGGCAAGTTTTGGCCCTCCACTACTAGTCCACGGGTTTGCTGAAGCCACCACAAAAATATCATCAGCCTACAAAGTTTCTTCTGTGGAGAAGCATGTTTATTTTACGTCTATCTTCTACAATTAGTAAGAAATCTAAATCTGTCAATTTGGCAAAATTTATGCTTTTTTTTTTGTGATGGATTTAGTGTCATATCAGCAATCAGAAATGAGGGAAATGAATAACAAATTTTGTTTTACAATTAAAGAGGCAAATGATTTTTTTTAAAGGATAAGTATTAGTTTATTTCATCATAAGGAAACAAAATGTACAGCACCATATCATTGAGATGCTAGTGTGGAGTAAAATGTCAGGCCCACAGTTCCCTGTCTGAGCTAGTTCAGGGTTGAATAAGCCACAGAAATCTTAATTTTCTGTAAAATTTATTAACTACAATTATAGTTATTGCAAGAGTCTTGTAAAGCAGGGAGAGGCCTGATCAGCCTTGATTTTGTTTTTTATTAGGATTAATTACAAGTATGAATATAAACAAGTATTTGATGAAACAACTAAGTTTTTTTTTCCTATCATCTGAAAAACATTAATAACAGGATTGTAGGTACGACCTTGGAGTTAGGACTGCGATGGGGATGTGGCTGCCCCCTTGTGTTCCTATTAGAACCTTAAATAGTTTTTAATTTGTTATCCCACCTCACCAGCACAAGAGAGAAGTTGTCTCAATCACGTAAAGCCTTTGCATTTTAGCTTTTTAATTTACATTAATAACCAATATGAAGCATAATCTTATAACCACTGATTCTGTTATACTGCAGACTTCGCTAATTTCAGCACTATTGAAACCCATGGAAGGTGGCTTGGTTGTTTTTTAAGTATAAAGTTTACCAAAGGAAAATGTTTGTTTTGTGTTTTGTTTTCTCTTCCCCCCGGCTGTTTTAAAGCTCCCAAGTTGGAGTTGAGGATTTGTTTCTCATGCCTTACTGCACAAATTGCATTCCTTTGTCACATGCACTTTTTTCTGCCATTTATTTAATTCACTACCACTTTCTTACCTTACATACCCTACCCTCCATAGACTTAAGATCATCCACATGACCTTTCTTTAAAAGTAATACTACACATTGCTTCTTGACAGAGTTTTGGTTTAATCTTTACAGTTACTTTCTAGCATTTAATCAACAAATCCTGTAAATGATATACCTTAAATGATACACCAATGTTTGCTTTAGCCTCAGGCATTTGATGACAGCCACATAAAGGAAAATAATGAGTCATCTTTACTGCATATAGAGAGTGGCTGATCCTTCAGCAGCCAAGTGTGTTCATTACTTTCATTACTTGGATTTCCCAGCGGGTAGGATAGACACGGGATCTGTTTGCACTTCAGCATCAGACATCCTTTTGGTACCCTGTGGAATAAAATAGAGAAATTTATAAATAGTGTGGAACATTTCATAACACTCAAGTCTGGAATTACGTGTTAGGGCTTTGCTAGCAGACATTCTCCACTCGTATCACCTCACTGCCTTTTTTTTTTTTTTTTAATTTGTCCTTTTAAAATATGCTTAAGTATACGAGCACCATCTGCATCATGACAATCTTAGAATGCAACTGCTTGCAATTTTCCCTAAAAGTGTGGGTTACTTAGTTTACTATAATTTTCACAGTCAGCATTAGGCGAAAGTGTACCCTGAAACAGGACTAACCAACCCAGACACACTGCTCCTATCTGCGGTATCGTAGTTCTGGCATTATTCTCACTAAAGTATCCCTGGCCCACATGGTTAACTGAAGCCATCAACGCTAGGTTAAAAGTCCTTCAAGCAAGATTAATAGTTATATTATAGCTAGCCTTAATCTGCTCCATGTTAAAGGAACACGAAATACTTTAATGCGTGACAGGTATTTGACAATGCTAGAGTGATACAGCTTTTGCACTACAAATATAATTTTGATTTTGGAACCAGTTCAAGACACTAATCTGGCCTAGGTGAAGGAAATGTACTGGTCTAGATATATCAACCAATTTTTGAGCAGTGATTGACAAATACTTGGTTTTAGTTTACGATGCCTTGACACAATTTTACTGGCCTTGAAGCCATTGACCATTTCAGGACAGCAAAATAAATAAATACAGTTAACACTGTGTATGGATACAAATCCTGTATGTAGCCAAATGCCTATCTCAGTGCCTGCATAGCCGCAAAATGTAGTGACACAGCTATAGCTGACTGCTAAATGCTTTCCGTACAACAAGAACTGTAAAGAATTAAATGCGAGTTGTCTTTTCACACTGTATATTTCACATGGGAAACCTGACTCATCACTTCAAGTCGCAACGGGGCTGTTCTGTATCACACTGGGAGAGTGAATGATCTTGACTTCCTCATTCCTTTTAAGGAACTAACAGCAATGAGTCTTTCTTTTTCTTTCCTTTATCTTTCTTTCTTTTTCTCTTTTTTCTTTCTTTCTTTCTTTCTTTCTTTCTTTCTTTCTTTCTTTCTTTCTTTCTTTCTTTCTTTCTTTCTTTCTTTCTTTCTTTCTTTCTTTTCTTTATTAATAAATTAGACTTGAACTCATTTGTATTCTTTTAATTTTTCACCTTTGATAATCCCCATATTAAAAAGGAGAAGCAAATAATCACAATGGACTGGAAGAATCCCCTGCCTTTTGCTAACTGCAATCCTGTGCTTGCATGGGCAGTGACAGCTCTACCAACTGCAATGTACTTGCTTCTGCTTCCAGCAGTGTGGAATTTGATAAATTAGACTTGAACTCATTTGTATTCTTTTAATTTTTCACCTTTGATAATCCCCATATTAAAAAGGAGAAGCAAATAATCACAATGGACTGGAAGAATCCCCTGCCTTTTGCTAACTGCAATCCTGTGCTTGCATGGGCAGTGACAGCTCTACCAACTGCAATGTACTTGCTTCTGCTTCCAGCAGTGTGGAATTTGGAACAGACACTACAAAAGAGTGCTTTTTTTTTGGCCACTAATGTCCAACAGCACACAGAAGACTTAATAATAGATACTGTAACAGGTTTCAATGTCTATCAAACACGACCAAATGAGCTAGTTATTCTAAATTTGCCCAGCAATTCTAACTGTCTAGACATCTGTTAAGTGATTTCCTACCTTACAATATTAACTTGGGCTCTGCCAGCTGTAACTGTTAAAGATATAATAAAGATTTTAATAAAGATATTAAAATGTTTCTAAACTGACCTAGCAAATAAGACGATACCAATCGCTGTACTTTCTCTAAATGACGCAAACTGTGTGCTCCTTTCAGCTAATCCCCATTTTGAGTCATTTAGCACATTCACAGAGCAGTATCATGCGTTAATGTTTTCCTGTGTTGCAGTCTCCCTGCTGCACCCGTTTTCAAGGTGCCTTCCTGGTTTAAACAGGAAGCTTTGAAGGAGACTAACCGATGATTGTTGTTAAACTGGAATTTCCAAGCATTGAGTGAAACACACAACTTTGTTTCTGTGCTTTTAACGGAGCAATTCCAGCTCTGCTTTCAGGTTGAGAAGCACATGTACCACAGGCTCACAGATTGCTGTTGGTTACTTTGCGTAACTCTAAGCTCAGGGCAGTTTGTCCCCGTGTGGTGATTAAGCTGGAACACACTTAATTTGGGCAGACCACTTTAAAGCGAGTGCAGAGGAATGTCACAGAGCTGGAGTAGTTTACTCTTCCATTTGTGCACATCGGAAGCTTTTGTCAGGATAGCTGATATTCTAATATCTGAAGTAGGCCAGGAGGATAGTTTCTGCAGGCTAAGTGCTCCCAGCTTCCACTAACTTCAGTATAAGGTATTTCAGCTCAGAAAACAAGGCTGCTATTTATTTATTTATCTGCAAATAAAAATATTTCTAATTGTCTAGGTTACAAATTCACTCTTTATGCTCTAGGAACAGGCACTGGACCTTAGTGTCTGTGCCAAACCTGTGCAAGTTGTTACCTAACACTGTTTCTTGCCTAAGTGTCTCTGTATCAAAAGTTTCAACATTCGTTAGCCCAATTGAAATGAAGATTCTCATCACCCCCGTTCCTGCACTCTGACACCCTTTAGCACTGCGCACTGTCCCAGAGGAATCAACACCTTCAGGACAGAACATTTAAATAGCTGCTGGTGAAACAGCTGCGCAGAATCGAGGAGAGCTCACTCGGATTGTGTGAGCAAGCCCTCGGTATCCTGTTTACTATCTTCCATTTCCTCATCAGAGAGCTCAATATTGTCTTAGAGAAGCTGTTACCAGATACCTGAGCTGCTATCTGGAAGAGGAATTCTGGGATTGGTTTCTTCCTTATGTAATACTTCTAGATTAATGATTACACCTTTCTGAGGCTTAGTTTGATCACTTAAGAAATTTGAAGATTATATTATGGAACTATGGTGGAACAGATTTCTTACGTATGGGTAATCTCAGTGAAACAGGAAGGCAAGTGGTCATTCTCTGTGAAATATTTTTCCTATCTTTTGGGGTTTAAATTTAATTGTTCTTGTATGAAGAAGCCAGAATGCCTGGTGCAATAGGAATATATAATTAATCACTTCAGGAACAGGTTGTTTTTTTCCCAGTTCAAAAGCACAATAAACTGGCCAAATCAGCTATACTATTATTATCAACTTTTTTTTTTTTTAAGTGCCATCTTCTATTAATGGGGGATAAAAGATGTAAGGATCTTATTGGCCTCTATAAATACAGCAGAAGATAAGGGACTACACAGTCAAATTGTCTAGCATATTCTTTGAACATGCAAAACTATCTCATAGAACATCTCCTCCTCCTCTGCCTTTTTTCTCCATTTTTCTTTTAGCTGGTCTCCTTTTTACTTCTGTCCAATCTTTCCTCTCGTGATCAAAAGCTTTCTCCTCCCCTTTGAATCAGAGATACCTTTCCTGCATCTCTCTGAGTCTTTTAAGAACTTGCACTTGAAAGGATGTTTCCTTGCTTGCTTACGCTTCCTAATCTCTCCGGAATAATTCTAATTTTGTATCTATTGTTAAACTCTACAAAAGATTTTAGGATACAGTTTGTGTCAATGGTGTTATACAAAATAGAGAGCACTGTCAACAAGCAGAGAAGCTCTTTCTCACACACTGGCTTCAGTGAGAATTTTGACAGAGGAAGCCTCTCAGTGCTTAATTTCAGCAAGTCTCCAGACCAGGGAAACAAATCTCAATTATCTCTAGAAATAATAGAGGCAGTTAACATTTACCCATTTCTAGATAACCTATGCCAGAAAAATGTGGCTCTTTCCCCTTTCTTCCAGTTGCCATAAAGGCTCTGTTACAATTTCTAAGGGTTTAAGTGAGGGAGCTGCGGGTTTTGCCTCTGGGCGCGAGGAGGGGCCGTTTCCAGCCTCGTGCTCCTGCTGCACAGTCACCCCGGGTGTGCACAAGGGGGATTTCAGACACCAATCCGGGCGAGGAAAGAACACTACACATGCACACGCATACATGTGCTTGATATGTCACTTGGCTAATAGATAATACAGATAAATACAAAGCAACGACCTGACCCTTTTCACATTTTGCCACACAAAAAGATTTCTCCTCTCGATTTCAGTGAGTGTCATAGATGAATGGAAGTCAGTGGAAGTTAGTGGTTACTCCAGGTGAGCTCCATGACTTCCTTGTTCCATTGAAATCTACAGAAAAATCCCACTGATTTGTAATGGACCAGGATTTTACCACAGAGCAGTGGGGTGACACACAAAAAGCAGAACTAAGTGGCTGGACTGTTATTAATAAATCCCACAGAAAAAGTTTGTTCTTTTGTTCTTAATCCCCCTGCCAACATGTAATTATTTTGGTAATGCAAATAGCTCTCTGTAGGATATAGAGTAATTCTGTGAAATGTGTGTAAATTAAACACTTCTTATGATGTGGAAAAACATCTGCCTTAAAATGAGTCATATTGGTCTATATAGCTGTTTAAAACTGAGCGTTCTAACAAAGCTGATTTTCAAATCAGTGTTACCATTTTGATATGCATTACTTGACTTTTCTTCTTTCAGGCCTAGAGGGCTGCTTCACTTTTTTTTTCTTTCTCTCATAACAGCCTTAGAAGCAGAGCAAGGAGGAAAGTAAAAATCTGTGTGTCTCAGAGGAACCAGCTTCAGTACAAAGCATTGTAGGTAATGTAGCCAGATCAGTTTACGTTCTTTGCAGCACTTAAAATTTGTGATGAAGCTCAGTTTGCAAATGAACTCTCTAAAACATGCTAAAAATGACCTTACAGCTCTGTGAATTCATTGCTGTTGTGGCAATTGCAAGGAAAAAGGAGTAAAGCGCTTCCTTTCAATTGATTTATAAAAAGCAATGGAAAGCAGCCCTCTTGCACTGAGCTTTGAAGGGTAGTCACAGGTCTGACCTGTGGTTTTGTTGCTGAATTGACTTTTGAATATGGTCCTGGAGAAAATCCCTCCTTGCAAGGGATGCCCGTGCAGCTTTAGAGCCGCCGCAGCAGAACCACCAGCACTGCAGGCAGATGTAACCAGGCAAATCTACACATCCTTTGCTTTTCCTTAGTACACACACTGTAATTTGAGTGTGGTTCAGTACCTGCTACAGGAAGGCTTGAGTCATCCACGGCATGAACCTCTAAAACACGCGCAGGGGAGCAGTGCGAGCTGTCCCAGGGCAAACTGCTGGTGCCTGTGAATCAGTACCCTGAGGGCCCAGTGGTTTTTTGCCTTTGACTAAAACCTTGCTGTTGTCTGGCCTTAATCCCACAAGCTGCTTGCAAAGTTGCACCCTCAGTGCCATCTGGAGCCCTGCGCACCAGAGCACAAGTCTCACATGCTGAGCAACTTTGCAGGGCTGGTGTTTAAATCAGCTGAATAATGACTTAAAAAGATAGGATGAAATGAACGTACGAGGCCCTTAAAAAACCCTCCAAAGGACTGCCTCTTCTCTGGCTTCTTGAGGGAGGGCTCCTTTGAAGTGTCTCCTCCGTTCTGCATGGAATCGGTCTCGGTTGTTTGCTGCTCCCTGGAGTCTGGCTGCTCCCTGGTTTCCTGTTTGGTGCCTTTCTGCTTGCTCAGCTCCACTGTCGACTTCTTGTCTTTTGAACTCTCTTTGCTCTTTTGGCCCACAGGTTCGCTTTCAGTTGGGGCAACTGGCCTCCCTGTGGAGTTTGATGTCTAAAGCAGTTTCAAACAATGGTTATTTTTAGCAGGAGATGTAAACATTTTGGCAGGTGATCCACAAATACATTAAAAAATGAAAGGCCACTTGTCAGGGAGAAATCCTGCTATCCAACAGGTTTTCATTTGCAGAGTTTGGACTGGCTCCTGCAGCCCCAACTTTAGGAAATGCTGATAGGGAGATATGATAGGATTATTTATAACCAAAGACTGCAAAATAAAGGCACTACTGCATAGACTTCCTTTATTTTAATATATGTCTATGCTGAAGCTGCTTTAGGAGGCAGAGAATATGCATGGAAAGAGGCAAAGGGGCACAGACATGCACTTTCAACTGTGACTCCCTCAACTTCTGCATCTGAGCCTGCGAAAACACCCAAAAAGTGCTGGGTTCGGGTTTGAGAGAGAAAGGAAGTTAATGGCATCAAAGCAAAGGGTAAAAAAAAACCCTCTATAAAATTGCAACAGTCAACCAAAAATTAACAACACATGATTTGGCTATGGAAAGCCAGTATGATAGAAAATTCCATGTACAAGTGCAGTAGAAGAGATATTGAATATTCCAAAGATAAACACAATAACAGAGCACCTATTTATAGTAAGGGCAAAGATTCTGAAACTCAGAAAAGAACAGGATATGATTGAAGTTCACAGGATGAAATTCAGGTCTGTCAAAGAGGATAAGACAATGAAACTGTTTCCGCAGTAGCAAATGACTAGATACATTTTTTTGCTAGGGAATCTTGCAAATAGCATTTTCTTTTTTCTTGTGCCAAAAATCATATTACTTTATTTACGTACTTATTTGTCATGTTTAAATGCTGCAAATCTGACATTTGCACTTGGGTGATAGCTCAGAGCTTAATGATAGGCAATTTTCCTAACTTTGGGGATATTATCATTATTCTTGGGAAGTTTAGTGTTCTGCTAAAAGCCTATAGATATATGCTCACATTACAAGCTTAGCTTTCATTAAAAACAAATAAATTTTTAGATATCATGATTTCAGGTAAAAATCTGAAATAAGAAACTCTGGAGGAATAATATGCAAATAAATCTATCAACCAGACATGTTAGAAAAAAGCTCTCAGCCCAATCTCTGGGCTTGTGTTGGGGAAACAAGTTAAGAAAAGGGGCAGCAATACTACCACTGGCCTTTTTCACTTGATTCTCCTTTTTCCCCCACCTAATCTTTAAAAAAAAAGGAAAGAAAAAGTTATTAGAAGCTTTTGTGCAGCAACAGTCTCAGCTGAGTAATCAAAACTTAATGCATTTAGTCCTCAACAAAATATGTGCTCGTGCTTGACTATTTCCCTTTCCTAAGAGCAGACATTTATATGTGGGTGTATATTTGCTCATATCTGGGTTTGTCTGCTTGTACACACAAAATATGCACTCCCAAAGCTAGGCTTCTTTTTTGCTGCTCTTTGCTCTGGTTCTGCAGCAGAGACATGAAGACATTGCCTGGAATCTGGAGGTGCAGTTCCAGTCCTGTGATCAGTAGTCCCATGCACCACAGACAGGCAAACAGAGAGCAAGTAGTCTATTAAAAACAATTCAATAACCTGAAAATAGGAGCGGGCTGCTAGGGCTGGCACATGGGCGCTGCTCACGAGCTGCAGGAAGTGCTTGGATGCACTTTTGAGGGCACAAGGGCTGCAGGATCCCTCTCATCACAAGGGGGAATGGAGCTTCATAATCACAAATTAAATTCTGTTTTTCATTCTGACTCATTGCAGCACGGGAAGGGGAAGCACTCAGTTACCAGCCCCACCAGTTAGCTGGACAAGATCCTTCTAACCTGCTTTGCCCTGGTTTGCTTTGGCAATGTTTCCCTTCGGTGCACTTGCAGATGTGTACATTCGATTCAGCAGTAACCACATTGCTCAAAATACACCCATAAGACTGGATATGTCTCCGTTCAAAGGTGCCAGAATGACTTCTATCCTGTATTAACACTGTGGAATCTGTGGGTTTACTTTGTGGGTGAAAAATTAGAGCAGCATCTGCCTTACCCCACGAGTTGGATTGTACAGGTGCCTGAGAGTTCTGGTACTGCTGGACTGGATGCAACAGGACTATCTCTAAGACTGTACAGGTGCCTGGGAGTTCTGGTACTGCTGGCAAATTCAAACTGGATGCAACAGGACTATCTCTAAGAACAGTTTTGGGTCTTTGATGTTAGTCAAACAAAACACTTTAAAAATATTCATAATACATTTTCCTGGCAAAATAACATAAAAAAAATCAGATAATCCCTTTGAGGTGTTTCATATTAACCTTGAAAGGCAGGAAATTGGCATATTTTATATTGATGGGAGCAACTCAGGAAATACAAAGTGAAAGGTATGAATAATGAAACATGTTAATGTTTCGTATTCTAAAGGTTGATCTGCACCTGACAGATTGCTTTAACTCTTGGCATTAACAGTGCTACTGAAAAAAAAATAATAAAAGATTAACGGGATAGTATTTTTCCCTGTCATGTTACAGGAGGCCTTAATCCAAGGCTCCTTTCTAAACGCAAAAGAGCGAGCACATAAATTTCAGTGGACTTTGGATCAATGTTCTAATGCATGAAGAATGGCAGTAATGGCAGCAATGAAACGTGAACAAGAATCACAGCATTCAGAAGCAGCACAGAGGAATTTAAGGAATATTTAAGGAGATTGTTTAATGCAAACTTTAAAAAAAAGTCACTGAAACAGATACATCCTGTATTTAAGGAGATTGTTTAATGCAAATTTTAAAAAAGAAAAAAGTCACTGAAACAGATACATCCTTCTCCTGAACTGTTTTATAAAGCAAAATTGTGCTAACTCATAACAGTGTAAGTAAGAGAAGGCGGAAGACTTGCAAGTTGGTTTAAAAAATGGAAAGAAACTGCTCACTACTTAGTCTAAAAAAAAATGGTGGTGTTAATTGTGCTGAATAGCTTGACTGGTAGCTCATGAGGGTTTCACTCAGAAAACAGAACAGTATTTGCATTTCCAAAGAAAATTTGATTTTCTCAAGTATTTTGAAAGCTATAAAGAATGTAACATAAAGATCACTGAAGTTTTGGTTCAAATTTTATGAACAAAAAATAAAAGAATCACAGAACAAGGAATAAGAAAAATAATTCTTTTTTGTTAAATTTCAGTGAAAAGTTTTCATTGTCACTTCCAATATTCTTCCATACAGTTCCAAATTCTGATCTTAGCAGACAAACATAAATCTACAAAATAAAACTTATTCTAGATGTTTGTAATTAGTTTCACTGCCTAAGCAAAGGATTGTGCAGAAAGTAAAGCAATAGGAAGAGAGAGAAACAAAACTGAGCATAAAACAATTATATTTTAATAGAAGGAAAGCACTTGGAAAAAAAGCATGATTTTTAATCTGACAGTGACTCTTCAAAATCATGTTTAATAAGATGCGTAGGTAAAATAAACAGATAAGTAAGCAAAATAAAGAAATAGATAAATACATGAAACTTGGCATGCATCACCTTCCTGGCAGTGAGTGTTACATTGCCAAAGCTGGGAGTTGTATGGAAGGAGGTGACAGGAGCCCATCACCAAACAACGAAAAAAATTCAGGCACTTACTTGGTGATTGGGGTTTGGACCATTTACCTCTTCTGATTTGGAAGTCCCTCCATCACCCTTGACTGACTAAAATAACAAAGGATTATAGGGCTTCTAACTAGGTTCTTGGTTTAAATACAAACTCAATATGAAAAAAGCACATGAATCAAACAATGCAAGGTTCAATTTCTCTACAGCACTAGAACAGAATCAGACATTTCAGAGTATCTACTGACATTTTTGAAATACCCACATCTCTCAGATTTGTGCCAGCTCCCTCCTATGTGACATGACTGTCTTTTTGAAGGCGATTTTTCGATTTAAGCTTGAGAAATGTGAATGGGGTGGACCAGAGATCATGTCAACTGATAAACCAGACAGCGCTGGCAACGCTTTCTTTTGAGAAGAGAGCTTCTGCTTGCGATTGGGAGACAGCCCTATCTTACAGGATCTAGCTGGGACTTCCTTTTTATTCGACCCATATAGGGAATAATTAAAGCCTATTTCATAGACATATTTTGTATTTTGTCATTAACAACCATTTTCCCCAGTTTCCACTTGCTGCTTTGTTCCTTCTCCCCTCCGTGCAGGAGAGCAGCAGCTCTGCCCGATCCCGCTATTCCCGGCCGCAGGGATCAGAGCAGACCCCAAGGCTACAGCCCAGACAGGTCGTTCAAAGCAAACCCTACCTCTGAAATATGTTTTTAAGATATGATCCCCTGTATGTATCTTAAAAATAACAGCAACCCCTTTGACAGAGCTGGCTCAATGAGTGAATATTACAAGATCTGTGACAATTAGATTGGACTTTGGTTATGATTAGTAATATAAAACAAACAAAACTGATGGTGGGTGCGTGTTTAATTTAAAAGTGTTCAACATGGTATTCGCCTGAGTATCAGTTAAGCCACAGAGCAGTAAAGTACAAAATAAACTCCAGAATTTCAAGGTGCCTGAATTTAAATGTCATTTTTCATAGTGTAAGTTCAATGAAAACAATGAAAGGATGTGACTTTTGCTCTAAAGATAGACCAGGCGGATTTGTGGTTTTCTGCAGCTCGTCGATTTGTTACTTGCAGCATAGCATTATCAGCTTGATCCTAGGGACTACAAGGATATGTTTTAGCATCTGATTTTCCTATAAAACCATGGAAAATCAATGCATAGTAGTATGATAAAAAACTGAACGACGCTGTGACAATTCATTTTTTGAGAAAAAAAATCTTCTGTAATTTGTCTTTCTCAGCCCCTTGCACGCTTATATGCTCATAAGAGGTTTTATCTGTGTGAGAGGCTGTAGAAATGGAGGAGAGGAAGCACCGTGCGGTCTGTCTCAACACTGCACACTAGTAGCTCCTTGTATGTATGTATGAAGATGTTCTGTGATAAGATCTAGCTTGTCTTTCTATTTAAATGCCTTCAGAGAACTGTAATGATGTCAACAAAGTTTATGCTATAAGAGCAACCAGTTTGCTACCTTAAAAAAAAAAAAAATCAGCTTTCAGCCACCTTCTAAAAATTGCTCTGAATTTTCACCAGAACAGCACAGAAGAGCAAAGGCTTTGAGGACCTTACTGAGACAAAGTTCCCCATTGCTTTCAGTGCAACTTTTTTCTAATGATTATAGAGGTTTGGCTCAGGAGCACTGCCAGCTTCTTTGATCATTTAGGATTGCTCCTGCTCAGTTCCTGACAGTGTTTTCTGCTTTCTGTGGCAATAGGGGTGGATCAGCATATCTTTAAATGGAGAAGGGTGGGGTCAGGCTTGCTACATTTCTGTGAATAATAAGGGGAAATAAAGTGGGACAACATAAAATAATTATTCTTGAATCAGGAAGCTAATCCTCTTGTAAAAGTTTATTTATGTGAGGCAGGGGGGCAGCATAGCTGTTGCAGAATAATTCGTACAACTGCAGGCACTTAATTAGGAACAAGCGTTTGTTGTAATTCCAGAATGACTTACTGAGTTTGGAAGTGTTGTCATTAATACTAAAACTGGACATTTTATTTGCAGAGAGCAGAGCCATTTCAGACCATCTGTGATGTTGGTCAGTTTCTTGGTGGAAGACAAAGGTATGAACCTCAGTTTAAGCTTAGTATTTCTGCTCATGGTAGTTAAATAATGCCATTTTGTGCTTTTAACATGTCTACAAAATATTTCAAAATAGAGGCAACTGACTTATCCAATTTCACATCTCTATTTATATTCTGTGAAGAAAAACAGGAACTTTCTCGATTCAGATCATCTGACCAGTTCTAGATATTTACTCTTTTGATCCTTAAACATGTTTACTCGTAGCCTTAAAGGGAGCCTCGTGTGACTGGTTCAGGTGCAGCTGTTTCTATTAAGATACCTGCATCAGGTCGGTTGTGTCTCACCCTGTATATAAATAAGATAGCTAGGTGATTTTGATTAATGAGGGCTGAGTGACATGTTCAAGTGGCAGCACAGCATTTCATATTCATATATAAGGTGCGGCCTAGTTAGATAAAATAGTGCTGATATTTCTTCATCTCTCATTGAATCACAGGGCTTTAAACTAGTGCCTTATGACTTCCCATTATTTCCCTTTTTCATTTCAGTCTCGGCGATGACATTTGTAACTCTTGCAATTGCAAACACTTCATACCAGTTAAGAACAGACCTCTATACTGAGCAAGTCAGCAGGCAGCCCAGGACATGCACCCTGCCTCTTCCAGAGAAAATAAATACTCCAAGTTTTAGGAACAGTTATCCTACATCAACAGCATTAATCAAAGTGCTATGGACATATCTAATTGCTAGGGGTCTGTGATGTAGTGTCTGAGTAGATTTTATCACTTTTCCTAAATGTTTCTTTCTCCATGGTGAACTGATGATTTAAAGATTCCTTGAGCACAGAGAAATAATCTAAATAGATGAAGCAGTTTAACCCAGCAGGGGAACAGCAGGTAGTTTGCTGTCTATGCTTTCTGTTCTGGAGAATAATCAAGGTTAGGAAGATGAGCAGTGTTGGAGAATTACAGAAGGGGTGTTTTGTCTGGGGAAAAGTATTTGTGACATTAAGTCTGCATAAAGTAGATTGTCCTACTGAGACTTCGTAGTTTTCCTTGACATCCACCACGAACAAATCTCCTTTCTCTTCAGCTTCACTGAGAACATGCAACAATTCCAACTTTGTGCCTATCCCTCGGGGTGCTGATGACAACGCAGGTAGCGCTGGGCACCTCCCGCCAGGCACAGGCAAAAACAGCTTCTCCAGGGCCCTCTGGAGGAGAGGGCTCTATGGGCTAGGTAATAACCTTTCTATCTTGGTTGATAACCAAATATTAAGCACACATATTTCCATCACACTGGCTTGTTTGTTTGTTTGTGTGTTTTTTTTTTACCTTAAGTAGCCTTCCAGTCCCCAGACAAGGCACACAGAGAATAACTGACTTGCCTGCTTGGGCAGCAGACTGTGACTGTGAAGTAAAATTAAACTTTATTTTCTGAATCTGAGTCTCGACTCTTAAGAAGATAAGCTATCTTTTTGTAGGCATCTCAATTGTTTGTAAGTATAATAGAACTGTGGATTTTCTCAATATGAACTGGATTTTCTGAATATGAAAAAAATGACAATCCTTATATCCTTATACTCTTTTTTATTTATCATACTAAAACACTGGCTAGCACAGAGTACCAGTGTGCTATGCACAGCATAAAAAGTATTTTCTTCAATGGTTTTTTGCTTGCCTTTTTCCCCCGCTTCTCTATCTGCTTATTCAGTTATGTGGAGGTATGAAAGGACACATTTAATGTCCTGACTTACGGAGCTAGTCTGATATCAAAGAAAGTCATGTGCAAATGTCTCCCGTCTTTTCAGGAATTTATAGAGTAAGAAACCTTCAGATCATCTTCCGCAAGCAGAAGGGAAACACAGTAGATGACCATATTAATTTAAAATAAAGTCGAACGCTTTCAACAACTAGAGCCATAGTCAATCTATTGCTAGATTGGAGACTGCACAACAAAATGTATCACCAAACAGGAGCCTGAGTTTTACTAAGGAAGTCCAGCAAATTCTGTCCCACTGACAAGTTGTCCCAGAGACCTAAAGCACTCGTGCTTGTTAAGATCTTATCATTGCTCACTTGTTCCATCTGCAAAAAGCCAGCAGTGCTCCTGCCAGACGCGCCAGTGACCTGCACCACACGGATGGACCTTGTGTACAGGTCCTGCTGGCTCTTCAAGACACTCCTCGCTCCCCTAGAAGCCCCCCGGCACAGTAACCACCTGTGTAAGATGCTGTAGCAGAAGGTACATTCAGGCACTGCTGGAGGCTTGTCTAGTTTTGCAAGGGAAAGATGTAGATGTGCTAAAGAGATGCAAACATGTTAAGTCATTTTCTCATGCAGGAAGTGTAGGGGCCTGGTCAAGTGCCAGGCATCTTGCTGTGTTCCTCCATCTCTGTAGTCAGAAGTGCAGCGTAAAGTCTCAGGTGTTTGAGTTAGTTTTTGATTAACTATCATTAGTATGAATAGCAGAGTAATGGCATTAGCATGAAGACTGGAGAGGTTGCAAATGGCAGCCCACAAAAAAGTGGAAATGAATCTGCTCTGAGCTCTGTGGTGCCACAATTACACAGCTACCAGGACGTGAGCCAGTTATTTAGAAGCTGGCTCCGGAATGACTTCGGTTTATGGCTATTACTGAAGGCTTGCCAGACCTCAAGAGAAAAGTACAGTGCAGACAGACCATTTCTGAGTGGAAATTATACCTTCCAGGCCAGTCTGGCAACCGAGCTATTCTGGGCAGAGGGGGCCCTGATGAGCTTCTCTCTACACGCCTCATCCCAGCTGTTCTCCCCACTGCGCTGGAACTTTGTCCTGTTTTCCCTATATAGTTTCTTGTAAGAAAATCAAGACTTTGCGAAGGGAGATGAGGCTTTTAAATGGAGAAGCCAGCAGATACTTTGAACTCATAAATATTTCATGCATTTGCAGCAGGTGTAATAATTAGTTCAGAAGCTTAAGAGAGGCTGGTTGTTTAGGAGTGGTTACAATCCTTCCACCTGCCCTAGGAATCAGAAATAGCAAAAGTAAGTGAGACCAGTGAGAGAGCACAGAGCTTGTGACAGCTACATAGCCAGGACTCTGTGCAGCAGGACAGCTATCCCAAAGTTATTGTATTTTAATAGATATATTAAAATAATTAGCATCTGTTTGGAGTCAAACATAGAGTAAATCATCACAAAAGGATCCATAAAGCTGCAAGACAGGTCGTACAGTTAATACAGTGGGTGAGTGTTTGTCTGTCTTCTAGTTCCCTCTTTTTGGCCAAATCTAGACTAAGCCCCTGCTCTGCTTAGGAGAGTGTTTGAGCTGCCGCTTTGTAACACAGCTCTCTGGTTTGGCTCCTTTTGGTGTTTTTTCCACCATGACTAAGATGGGTGTGGAACACAGCTTCTATTTTTAATCACTGCCTTTTTTTTTTTTTTCCTTTTTGATTTGAAGTTGTGGTTGTCTCAGACTTGCGTATTTGATACATATTACGCCTGATTCATACTCTGCATTCCTAACACGTATGGGGGACAAACCTCTATGGCCCCTTGCAAAAAACAGGGATTTAAGAATAAAGTTCAGACTTTCCAAACATACTAATTTTACTAAGTGCCCTTTGGAATTAAAGGCCTGTAGGATTCACAGTTTTTCAGCTGATCTAAAAAAAGAATTAGGTTAGATCCTCAGATACACCAGAATGTCTGTGTGGTAAATTAATTTTGAGGAGAAAAAAAACCCAAAAATGCTTTTATCGTGTATTGTGCTGAGGCTACTAAAAACCTAAAAGAGTAAAAGCCACAGTACAAACTTCTGGAAGCAGGAAAAAATAAAAATAAGAATTTGGGGGTCGCCCAGTGGCTGTCCTCAGCTGCACACGCAGGTGCTGCAGGGCGCAGGCCACGCGGCCGACCTGCTCTGCAGCGTGAGAGGGGACGGCTGTCACAGTTTAATGTGCACATTTTAATGTGTCCGGACATCGCGTAGCTGCCTACAACAGCACCGAGTAAAAAGAAAAATCTTTTTCGGACTCCTTTGCAAACCTGCCAAACTAAGATACATTGTTGTATAAACCCTTAGAGCTGTGACAGACACTTTTAAATAGAGTGGCGTTAGTTCTAGCCTTGGATTATGTCCTTTCTTGGCCACCTTTCTAGATTCTTTGGAGGAAATTACAGCAGATACAGATATCTGGAGAGCAGAAAAAGACCAGGGCCACTGCGGCTGATTCAAAGCCTCCTGGGCTGGCCCTGGGAGCTGCGGCAGCCCCATGAATGTCCCTGTAGAGCCACGAGAGGGAGATGCAGAACACGGAATGGGCCGGGCAGGGCGCGGGGACCGGCCCCGTGGGCGGCGGGAGGTGCCGGAGCGGAGCCGCGGGGCTGCCGGGCTGTCCCGCCGCGCTCATGCACACGCCCCGCTTGGGTCTCAAAGCTTTTCCACGGTTACCACCCCCAAACGTGTCACTGAAACACCGACATTCACAATGCCCCGCTTACCAGTTTAAAAAATTTCCTCAGGTTTGCTTTGGGGGTTTTGATTTCTTCTCTTCTAGGTTTCACTTCTGAAGCTTCTGGGCTTTTGTTTTCCTCTTTAGCAGGAGCCACTGCTTCTAAAGACACCTCTGCTTTTTCATTGCTTACAATCTCTGCTTCATCCGATGGGCTCTGGGGTTATTTTTGGCAAATATTAAGAATGCAGAAAAAAAAAATCAGACTTAATCAGTAAGTTTTCCTGTTTCTTTCTCTCTCTCTTTTTTTTTTTTAATAAATTAACAATCACAGTATGTCAGAAATGCAGTGGGTTGGAACACAAGGAATGAATATGGTATGGCAGGATTCTCTCAAGACTTCACTGCAGCTGTATAGGTTCTTAAGGAACTCTGTTCATCACAATTCAAGGAAATATATAACAAGTACAAGTCCGATTTTTTGAAAACACTTATTTAAGGGCTTTCTTGAATTGTGGCACCAGTTCCCAAACACTATCATTTCTCTTTGGTTACAGTTTAAAGCAAAACCGAAATGAACTCATCAAGACTTAGGCTGTTATGAGCCAGGAGTAGAAAACACTTAGGTAAAACCAGCAAGAGTGAAAGAAAGATCAAACCCAGGAGTTTGCCCATTAGAGCATGCATTGTATTAAGTAATTAAAAAGAAAATCTACAACACTTCAGACATTATTAATGGTTAAAGCCCTGTTTAGCATCCTTCTTCAAGAATGAAATATGGAAGCAAAGGATCACGGCCACAGCTCGGGTCCTTTTCCACTTGCAAAGCTATAAATGACTTCTCGAGGCACAGGGGAGTTAAGCGGCTCATCTATTTCCTCACCTAATCTCATGGGTCACAGAGACTCTCCTGCATAGTCTTGACCCCCATTTGAGTTCAAGAAAACCTACAGAGAACTCAGCAACTTTGTCCTTATAGAAAGAGTTTGGGTCCCACTGAGCTTTTGTGCATTACTGAAAAGTTCCCCCTATTAGAACAGGACTTCAACCAGAAGCATGCAGCTTATAAATTCCTCTGAAATATGGGTCCCCATAAGATTTATTTATTAATCTTCTGCATGCCTCCATTCCACAGCCTCCTCAAGGTTATCCTGGGAGTGCTCAGCGTATTCAAGGGAACAAGAGAAATTGCACAGTGCAGAACACACGGACCAGGGCACATATCTGCTCTAGTGGGCTTAGTGGCAGAGCTGGCCTGGAGGCTAAACATACATTTCCTTAGCTGGCTGTCCTGCTTTTTATAAATGCCCTGGTATATAACACTTCCTTCTGTGTCTTCAGGAATCCCTAAATAATTCCCATCCCACTGCAGCTACACAGACAAGCATCTTCCTTCCTCCTGTAAAGAACGAGCTATTATCATGCTAATAGCCAAGTAATTGGACCTGAAACAAGCCCTTTTTCATTTTGCAGACAAGTGCAGAAAGGTGCAGTACGTTATAAACCTGGGTAAGTTACACTCTCAGCCTTCGATAGTGAATCAAATGGAAGCAGTTACCCTAGGTTTTGGCATTTCAGAAACAGGCTCCTTAAATATATTGCACAGTAACAAATATATCCTATGGTAACTGCAGAAGAGAACTGCTGTAAATAGATCACACAATATTTATATTTCACAAACTTGACACACACTTACAGGAACTCACTTTTGATGCATTCATGATTATTTTGACAAAATTAATTCTGCCCACATGAAGAACATGAGAATAATTTACAGGGTAAGACTGAAGATTTGTTGTAGTGCCATATTCTGCATGTGTCCTGCAGTGCAAGTGCAGTAACACTGCTCTCATAGGCTTTTCCAGACAGCTTCAACTCAGTGATTCCTCCATAGTATCTGTGGTTAAATAGCCCTTGGTGGGGGTTTCCTACAGAAATGATACCCAGCAGCATCCTGTGGCAATTAACTCCACAGCTAAAGCGTGGGAGTGGGTTTTTTTGTTTTGTTTTTTCCTTGAAATTTACTTTGTCATCAGATACTTTCACTTGATTCTTTCTACTGCTTCCATTTTGAGGAACAGTGACGGATCTTTCCCGCTCACCTGTCTACGGGACAGGAGTCACTCTAAATCCCTGTCATCTTCCCTTCCAACAGCTCTTTTTCTAGGCCAGAAAGCCTTAATTTATCTAGTTGTTCTTCATGCAGAAGCCATTCAGTACCTTAATGTGGTTTTCCTCTCGTTATTATACCTTTCAATTCTATGTTTAGTTCCTATATTAGGAGTGGAAGGGACCAGGACTGCACACTACATGTAAGATGTGGGGCTTCTAAAGATTCAATTCTGTTCTCTAATCCTTTTCTTTTGTGGGTGAAATGAACAGGGATTTGGGGGGGAAAAGAAAAACAATGAGGGAATAAATATGCCCTGCCCCCTGCTGCTTGAGATGACTGTGTCACAGCTCCCTTCCCATGGAATTGTAGATTTAATTTTATTTATGAACATTTCTGAGATGATCAATCCACAATAATTTCAATCTATATTTCTGCCTCATTCACCCATACATATAGTCAATTCACCCTTTATTTGCTCGAGGGCAGTGATTCACGGGGCTCCACAGGGCAGCCAGGGAGCACCCCCGGTTACAGCTGGGCTCGCAAATGACTTTGGTTTCAAGCCACGTCTTTGTACTGGCCTTAGTGGCACTGCTGAGAGCAAATTTATCCTGGGGAGAAATGCCAAATACCAACATGCACTATTAAAAAAAAAAAAAAAAAGAGCAAAGTGATAGTCACCTACTCAGAGTGTCTCATTTGTTTAGAATAATCAGCAACTTTTAAAAATATATTTCTTGCTGGATCCTATTGAAAACTTAAATTATATTTCCAATAAAAGCCTAAAACATATTTTGAGTATCTCCAAATCTGGAGGTTCCGCTACTTTCATGTAGTCTGAACAAGCTATTCAGACATGCTGGGACAAAATGAAACTCTAAGACACCCCGGCATTCTTCAGAGAAGGCTGACTGACACGGCAGTCTGTTGGAGGCCAATGATACAAGAAGGTGACATGTTGCACATGCAGAGACACACAGGGAAGCTCTGCATATTTTTTTCAAAAGCCAGGAGCCTCCTCCTTCCAAAAAAGACCATTTTTTTTCTGACAGGTTTTTAGAGAACAGAGGTTTTATTTTCATCATCCTGTTTCCCTTAGAGAACTAGAAGAAGGATTTCTTTTTATGCGTTCCAGAGAAATTGAAAGATGATTTTGGGAGGAGCTGGAAGGTGAATGGGAAAAGCCTGACAAAGAGGAATTCTCAATAAGCTTGGAATGATGTTGCACACACTTCTCTGGAGAAACAGGATAAGTTGCCTTTCTACATTGCCGGGGACCAAAAAAAAACGTGTTAAATTTTATGACTAGTTCTATGAGGCAGAAACTACAATTTGTTTATAATATTAATTTCCAAACAGTCCAGCTCTATCAACATACATGTTCTCTTGTCCATAAGTTATATCCCTATACCTATAAGTTGCATATGTCCACATTCTGCCTCCAGTTTATTTGGACACAAATTACAATAAATTCTACCTAAGTCAGCAAGCCATTCCTATTATGCACCAGAGAGAGAGCTGCTGTTTATTTTAACTTTCTTTTATTTTTTTTAGGGGAAAAATGTATTCCTTGCCAAGCTCAGAATACTATTTTAAGAACCATTTATTTGAGGAAGTAAGATGAACTCTATCTTCTGTTATTCCTATTACAGAACTACTTTCTTTTTTTTTCTCTTTCAAAATAATATTTTAGTATATCTTCCCTCATTTTGTTTTATAAGTGTATTTTCCTAGTCTCTTTGTTTCGCTGTGTTTGGAAAGTATTCTTCCACCCCTTAGTGATAATATCCTGGATTTTCTTTCAGTAATTAGATTACTTAAAACAGCTACAGTGCAAAGTTACTTTCCACTTTGGGTCCTCATTTGGTTCCTACAAGCCCTCCTTGTTTTTGGAAGCAGCTACTACATCACTCGCTTGTCCATGTTTCTGACCATGGAAATCCTCATGAGCATGTAATTTATTTGTGTCCTGGAGAACGCTGCTGTGAGCTCTCCTCCACTTTAGTTTGTCTGACTCAAAATACAGGTCTTCTTCTGGCCATTTCTCCATCAAAAAACAGCCAGAATGCCATTCCCTCCTGCTTTTCCAGGATGCCAGCAGGTGAAATACTTCAGGAACTAGATAAGTCCTGGGCAATTTTAACATTTATCTCACCTGCTCCACCCGAATACTTATCTCTTCTTTCCTATGGCAGAGTATGTTTGCAGGCTTAGCAATAAAAGGTGTCATTCTGCTTTTCTTAGCAGCCAGCCACATTGCTGGGTGCAAATTCCCCTTAGTAAAACATGTGTGATTTTGTGTATTTGTATGGCAACAAAATTGCAACAGCTTAAAATTGTTTCTGTTTTTTTTTCTTTTTTTAAAAAAATATATCTGCTTTTAAGATGAGTCACAGAGGAGTGTAAATGATACTCCCTGAACGACTTTCCTCCCTCATTTATTTGCATGCTTTGATCAGATATAGATGATGTGTCATGTACCTAATCAGAGATGTACAAGGTCTTGGAACCAGCTTTCCAACACAAATGTGTTGCATAGCTAAGCAGTATTTTCTAAAAAATATTAGTATTTGCTAAAAAAAAATGCTAGTATGACAAATGTTTGAGTAACACTTTTATGAAAATTCTTAGACAGACTGATCAGGAAATGGGACAAAGGCAGTTGAAGTGGTTTTCATCTGAGGAGCTGAATAGAAATTCTTTTCCTTTTTTCTTTTTTTGCTTCTTCCTTTACATACTTATTCATCTCTAGTCAAAGCAGCAGCATTAACTGCAATGTGTTGACAGGCACTTCATTAGCAATACTTTGAAGTGAAACCTTGTCAGAAGATAGATATTTGAGAAGTTGCCTGAAAGGGGAGAAGTTAGATCTGAATCGCAGATCTATTGAGTGTTGTGGTTGCTGCTTGCTAGTTCAAAAGAAAAACTACACATTAGTGTGAGTTACACACCTATTTAGAACAGTTGCTATCTTTGACTCTCTAACCTAGCAAAGAGCAGTACATTAAAGGTGTCAGAATGCAAGATAAAATCATTGCAGGGAAAAAAAATAAAAAAAAAGACAAAACTCAGCCCAGGCTGAGTTTGAGTCCACCCTGTGCTTTAAGGACTTATTCACATCTGTCCTCATTTTTTTAGCCTCAAGCTGACTGGGTCAACAAGGTCTCTCATCAAAGGAAATATAATATTCTTCTCTGTCAAAAAAAACCCTGTAAAATAACATCAGTCTTTTATGGGTAAGAATTCAACACTCAAGCAGGTAGCTCCCTGATTTAAAATATTTAAAATTCAATTCTCTGCTGCAGAGGTTTGCTCCAGAAATTTCATAAAAGCGTTTTATCTCAGGATACTTCCAGGTGCAGGGAGTTCAAAGTAAGCCAAAATGCTCATATTGCAAAGTTTGAAGTCATGCAGTCATATAATCTAGTTTATTTGGGTAAAATGATTTAACTTACTCCTAGTATTTTCAGTGCAAAATAAAGTCTACGCTGAGTTATAGAGAGTTCTCCACAACACTTCCCATCCTCTGAGATAATCCTCTTTATTTTAATGATGATGTAGAATAAATTAAGCCTAGTGTTAGAACAAACTGCACAGAATCCTGGTGAAAGGTTTATACCCTGAGGTGTTTGAGTTCCCAGGACTTCCGTGAAGATTGTTGTAAGGTAAAAAGACATAGGGTGGTTATGTAGACTTAATTTAGGTGCAAAATGATATATAGGAGCTCATATTCACTGCAGATAGAATTTATATCATAGAGAATAGTGAAATATCTATTTACTATGTTTGTTCAAAATAACATTTTAAAATCTTACCAGAACCTTTCCAGATTCATTACATTTTCTTACCACCTCTTTCTGCTCAAGAATGATTTTCACTATTTTTATGAGAGAAAAGTTATTTTCCTTGTGATTTTTTTTTTTGCTTGTTTTTTCCTTCAGAAAACACTGAAGCTCAGACCAGTTTCATTACTCTTATGGTTTTACACCTAGAATACTTATGGCTCTTTGCCAAAGGAACTTTTTTCTTTTTCATCCTGATGTTCTGCTCACATCCTGCTTCCCATCTCAGTTTTCAAATAAGCCGGATTACTCAGACACTTGAGGATGTTTCTGCAGCAATGGTAACTATGTGAAAAATCTCACTCTACATCATCTTTACAGGTTTCCTGTCATTATAAATACTTGATTCACCCAGTTCCACAGAAGATTACATTCCAAATAACAGCTATTTCAAGCTTAGATGTGAAATGAAGCCAGCAAATTATGATTGTTTGCTTTGTAAACATCGAAAAGCTTTAGATTTCTAGAGCATGTAACGTACTCAAAGCGTGTCTCTAGTATCTCTACCCAGCAGAGCAAACACAGCGAAAGAAGCTCAAGGCTAATGCTCAGCCAGCATCTGCTTATTTGGAAGTCTTTCATTTCTGGGATTTTAACTCGAACAGAAGCCCTGGAAAGCAGTTATTCAAAATAAAGTGATTCAGGAAAGTGCAATACAGCTCTTCTCTCAAATGAAATGAACAAGCCTTTCTAAACCACAAAAACATAATGGAAACAGGAAGCTTGTTTTCCCAATTAGTCTTACTTTAAAAGAAAATCATTGTTTAACCTGAACAAAAAATGTGTTTTCCCAAGCAGTCAGTCTCAGTTCCCAAAGTTAAAGGCTGATCTATTCTTGTTTAGATCTATTTTTACCAAATCAAGATAGGCTCAGGAAAACCCAGGTTTTCAGACACGTAGAACTAAACGACGCAGTTCTCACAGAAACTTCACCTCTCTAAACTATATCCAGCTACAGTTTTATTAATGATAGAATTTGGTAAGGAATAATACGGTATCTGTGGGATTTTCAACACCTATGTTGAACTGCACAGACACTAATACCCCTTCTTCCGTAATATCATTTAAAAATACTCCGGAGAGCTTTAGAAGACGACGGTTTTGTAGGACTTTTCCGGAGCAGCCGCCTGCCCTTGCTAGCCGTGCCGGGTGAGGCCCCGCGCTCCCGTTCCCGCTCCCGGCTGCTCCCTGTGTGCGTGTGGCAGCGGGCTGCGCGCGGGCCCCGCACTGCCCGTCCCCAGTGCCTATGTCCTCCACGACGCCACGCACCTTTTTCCGAAAGAGCTTGCTCAGAGGCATGGGCGCAGCCGCCGCCTTCTCCTTGGGCAGCTCCCTGGGGCCTTCGGGAGCTGCTCCCGCCGCCGCCGGCTGCTGGGCTGCGGGGTCAGGGCCTTTTGCGTTGTGTTTAGTTGGTTGAGGCTCTTGAGAGGATGGAGCGTTTTTTTCTGCTTTTACAGAGGTAACTGGCTGCTGTTCGGGGCTCTAGAAACAAACCCATAGGCAATGTCATCAGCACCACTGGAAATGCGCAAGTAACAACAAAATCAGAGCACGTTCCAGCACTGTTCACCAGGGGTAAGTCCACACTGGACTGCACAGGACATCCAAAGCAGTGAGGTGGATTTAACCACAGCCCCCTTACGAGCTGCACTGCCCTGTCCTTTTGAATGAACTAATGTCTTGAAAAGAGGAAGCAAATCGAATAGCAAGCCACCCTTCACGACAGAGATGATAAATAGATAATGAAATTAAAACACTGTCTTTCAGACTGAAACGAACAGTGAGAGTAATTACACTTCGACTACGTTCATCACACAAATAAATCATCGTACTCACTTTGGTATTAGTTGTCTGCTGGGCCTCTTTTGCAGCCTGAAGGGAAAAAAAAAAAAAGACAAGTCCATTGTTGGCAGTACCAGCCCTCATAATTGTACAGGTGAGGAATTTATACAGGCCTGTGTCACAAGTTATTTTATTTTTAGTGAATGTTTGAGAAAGTCCTGGCTCCTGCAACCATGGAAACTGATCTTTTAACTTTACCTGACCTAAAGGGACTGTCAGCTTGTGTCCTTCTGCTCACAGATACTTGGAGCCCTGTCCTGAATTGCTTTGTGCTCACTCTGGCGTGCTTACAGTTCTCAATTTGGTCTTTGAGAACATCCATATATTTCTATTTTCCACAGGTAAGACATTGCACAGGGTTTTAAGATATTGGCAGAAATTTTCTGAGCTGGATCTGTATACGCAACACTCAGTGCACACAAACAAGTGTGAGCCAGGTCTTTTCCACTGAGAGAATTGTATTCCAGTCCCGGACGTGCTAAAGTGTCCCTTCAAATTGGGAAACTTTGCATTTTGGAAAGCAAAGTGTGGGCCGACGTGTGCTACGGGGCAGGTTAGCAAATGTTTTTGCATGTTATAAACAAGCACATAGTAAAATAAAAACATCCTTGAATGTTTATCACTTCTTACAGCCAAATGCTCAGTGCATTGTCTGCACTCACACAGTAAGATAAATACACGTGTGGAAGGTTTTCCATTGCCTTCCGAGTTGGCAGCATAACAAGGGGAGAAGGCAACAGCCTGGTTTTGTGCTGTCGCCCAGAAGGCCCACGTTGGGTGGAGATGCTCCAGGACATGCAAGGCTGCCCAGGCCCTGGTTTTGTAGCGCTGAAGCAGGAGGTGCCGCTCTGCAAAGAGCAGCTCTGTGGGTGCTTGAGGATTCTTTATCCAATTCCCAAACTTAATCTATGCTTCTGGATGGATAGGATTTTTTTGCATGTTTCTTCATCTTTAAGTGTTTCTTCTAATTTTATCAAAAATAGGAAGTCTAGTTGGTTGAACTCATTTCCAGCTAGTGACACCGACCAGTATATATTGACTCTAACTTACAGCCAAGGTTATACTGCAGGTATCTGAGTTACACAGAAAGAGGAGCAGCAAGCCGCAAACCAAAGTAAATGCAGTTTGAGCACCACTGGCTTTAGGCAGCTTGCCACGCTCCGTGGAGACTTCTTGAAAGAATAGGTGAGAGTTGTTTTGCAGGAGCCAAGAACTTCTTTGTGGTTAGCTCTCCTGGACAAAATCCAGAGCAAGTGGTACAAAGCAGTGTAATGCCACGAGCTGACTTCAGTAATAAGCTGAAAATAACTGATTGACTCTTTTCTTTCCCATCAAAATCCCTTAAGTCAGTAGAGTTATAGTGCAAAACCAGCCTGCAGTGTGAGACAACATACATAAATGGAAGTAATAAAATACACAGAGGCGCAGTGGTCAAATTCCATCCAAACTCATTCTTTAAGGTTGAATGGCCAAATCCCACTGCATCAGGCTGATTTTGTGGATTTATAGTAGGAACTATGTTGCTGCTTGAAAACAACGTTATGAGTTTTAGTATAGTTATTTTACAGTTAGTATTTATATAAAACACAGGACACTGAAAAACAATATTTCTGATGGTTTCTTTAAGCAAATGGTTTAACATACCAAGAAGCAACATGGTAAAGTGCTTAAATTTGAATATGACTACATAGATTTAATTAAAATACTGATAACTTCAGATAAAGTGATTCACAGCCTAACCACCTAGTTGGCACATTCCGGGCCTTTCAGATGAAGGCTGTTAGAACTGCACCTTTTCTTACTAGAAGTGCTAACTTCAGGACTTGCCTGGCACATCAACACTCCCATTTGCATTTCCACTTTTAGTCCGCCATACAGGCAAACTGTGAACTGCATTTTAATCCAGCTCCTTTACTATTATATATCACACATGATATACCTGTTGCGTCTGCATTTTGTATCTAGAAAGGGAAAGCTATGTAAATAAGTTAAAAACTTCAACAAAGGCCACTGTTCAAAAATAATGAGAGTTTTACATGACACGGCATCTGGCTATAAAGCACGGAGCTTTTGCTCTTCTTTGAGATATTGCTTGCTTTCTAGACCCAAAGAAAAGTACATAAAATTCTATTAATTAGCCTGATGAAAAATCACCTCTTCCAACTGCTCGTCCCTCAAATGATCAAACTATTTTTTAGAAGTGGTATATGACGACATTTTTATCTCCAATATAGGAAGACAGTGGAAAGAACTTTTGTTTTGAAAATATCTTAGCCTCCCTCTGTCTTGCTAGTATAATCCCTGATTATAAAGACCCCTACTCACCAAAATTTCTGTGTGGGTGTTTTGAATGAGCAATAAATATTAATTACTTTCCTCCCCCAGTGTAAGGGGCTCTGCTTCTACATTCTTCAGGCTTAAAAAAAAAGCTGCTGTTCCTTCGCTCCCAGCCACAGAACATCATTACTTATATTGTCCTCTGCTGCTGCTCATGTAAAACCTGGAACCCAAAGTTCATCAAAAGTATTTAATGACTTTTTTCATAAGATAATGTTTGCATGAAATGTGTGTTTTTCTCAACTTCTAAATTATCTATGAAAGAAAAAATTCCTTCCAAACTAAATTCAGAATTGAATAATTACTACTTTGCTATATTTTCAGGAGTATTTCTGATGGAAATTTCCAACCTTCTCTTCCATTCGTAGTGCAAGTTCAGGAAAGCACTAGTTTTAACCACATGACCATGTGAAGTCAATGTGGATCTTGTGGCCGTAACCATAGCTGAATTGAGCCCTCAACCTTGTCTTGTAATTGAAGTAAATATACATGTCTGCATAAATCATTGTTTGTCAGGAACAAACAATGTATGTCTTCTTTTTCAAGTGTCCAGTTAGTTTAAAGGGTCCAGTTTTAAAGTTTAGTTAGAGTTAGTAGTAGTAACATGGCAGGTACATAATACAAGTTTAGAGGAATTTTTCAGAATCCTGGATTCACAGATGGTATACATAGAAACGTTTCCCATTTAAAAATACTGCTTTTATAATGCAGTCTACAGAAATGCTCATGCCATTAGTTTGCAAAGTGCTGAACAGTTGGCCAGATTCTGATTTCAAATATCCTTCATTCTGTGACAGGAGCCATCTGTTACTGCTCAGGATTCTGCTCGTGCTAGAATTTCATACAGACCTTATGCCTAAAGAGTTTGCTAAATGTACTGTGCCCCAGTTTGGGAGACTCCGGCTTCTTTTTCTTGGCTCCCTTCGTTTGGGATTCAGCAGCTGTCTTCGGAGCGGGTTGCCCACCATGGCCTTTATCCACTTTGGAGCCCTTTTGTACAACATCAGTCACACTTGAGTACTTGTTACCAAGTTCACATCCTTTTGTTCACGAAAAGCATTCAAATACTCATGCACGTTGTATTAAATATTTCCTTTGTGTCCTGGATAAGAAATTTGTATTTCTGTTCCACATTTTTTACTTTTTTTTTTCCTTTGGGATGAGTAACAAAATTAAATTTAATATATGCATTTGACAAATGCTTTGTGTTTCACTAGGGCAATGCAGTTGATTCAAAATTAGATTAGAATTTGCCCCCTGCTTCTTCATTAAATTGAAACCCCAATTTAATTGAGGTTAATTTAAGTTTAAAATTGGGTTTAATTTACACCTCAGAGCCTGAAGCTTGTTTTGTTTTAAATCCACAAGTAGCCAGTTCAATTTGGGACTATTTGTGGGTTTAAATTAGGCAGATGTATAAATCCTTGAAAATATCTTTATTCTCATTTGTATTGTGGTATTACAGAGACTTTAAAATGTGTTTTCTACTATGTATTATTTATGAAAGGGGCAATATGAATATTAATGATACATTCATTATTTATACATACTTGTATACACATTACATAAAATATTACAGATTTGCATTGGTGTTCATGGAACGTGTTAGAAATAAAAGCATCAGAAACAGTAAGATAGGCTGATCCCAACACTCTTAGGTTAGAAAGCAGTGTGTTTCCTGTGCTCCCCATCATAAATGTCTGCAAAAGGCTTTGGTTTTGGGAGTCATCTCCCACTGCAGTTAGAAACAGGATCTCTAAAAACCTAGGTATGACACTGAAAAATCCATTACAAAGCAATATAAACTAGAGAGGAACACATTGACTGTGCAGGAAAACAAAAAAATGGCTATTTTTAAAGACAGGAGCAGACTCTATGCAGCTCAGTGCTGACTGAGTTACCCTAATGAAAGTAAAGATGGTGTAATTAAATACTTCGGAGTCTTTAGAAAACTTAAGAAACATTTTGCTAGAATATTCCATGTAGATTTTCATTCTAAATTTTTTTTGAAAACTGCAATACTTCCTCAAAATTTTGTTCTTCAGATTTTTTTTTCAAATACTCAGCTCTCCACATTTACCAGTGCTAAGTTTTCCTATTATGAATATTTTTCCTTCTTCCTTTCTTCTTTCTTCCGCACCATTTTTACCATTCTCTCTAAGTGGTAGAAGAAAAATATGCAGAGGTGGAGGAGAGCAACACACACCCCCATATCCAAGCCAGCTTAATTGGGTTTCAACAGCTAAACAAGTTAATGCAGGTCTCTGTTCTATGGCAACTGTCCTGTGTGTACCTCATAATATGATTAATCACAGGTAATGAGGTAGCGTTCCTTACTCTTCAGCGCATCCCAGTATCTCGTTTTAAAGCCACAGGAATCCATTGTGATTACCTAGTCAAAGGAGGATCTCATCTAGTTCCTATTTTTGAGCATCCTGGACTTCATTCTCATCTCCCTTAAATTCAGCTTAGGCAATTTAGTCCTGATTTAATTAAGAAACAGACCCAATCTGGGGAAGAAGTAAGTTTCTTAAATTATATTTCAATGAAAAATAACTTCATTCAAATCTTCACCCTCCAGCTAATTAACTTGTATATTTGCAGACTTTATTCTCATTTCTTTTGCACAGAGTTGAGAAATTTCCTTGCCCTACAAAAACACCCAACTGCAGAATCTTCCTCTTCAGTACAAATTATCGAGCCCTGTGGTTGACCACACCTAATAAGATGCTTCCTATAAAATGCTTTGAATTATGTAGTTAGAAGGAAACAACAACCTCAAAAGCAGGATCTTCCCCCAGCATGCCCAGAACTGTTCTACTCTGTACGTGGGCCCTTTTGCCCTAGGAAGAGGCAAATCAGGTCTAAATTGGCTATTTCTCCCTTCAGTACTAGAGTACTGCTTTAGTGCTACACTTTAATAGTGTAGCAATCCCAGTATTTCCATTCAATTATGAAATTAGGTAATAGAAAAGGGTCCATTTTATGGTACAGAACAGATATAATACAAATGAATAAGCAGTGCAGTTTCTAAACTGATCCTTTACAGGTTTTTGCAAATTCACGTTGCTCCCAATAAGTTTGACTGAACTATATATTATATAGGCTAAACTTTTCTGTTTACGTGGATGAAGTGACAATAATATTAAGGCTGCATCCATACTATTGAAAGCATGAGTTGCTTTAGCCAGCTGATTAACTCAGAGTTGCATCTTAGGAAAGTTCTGCTTCAAAACCCCACAAGCGCATCCTGGCGCTGAGTTCCACTGATGGCACCCGCCTCTGTCCCCGGGAGGAAGCCCTGGTGCTTTGGCAGGCAAAGCAGGAGAGGCCCCGAGCTGCCTTCTCGGAGGAGAGGAGCAGACTCGCTGGTTCTTTTGGCACACGGGCGCGCGGGCGGCAGCGCCGGCTGCTCCATGCAAGGACGGCCGCGACGCGGACGCCAGCGCAGCCAGCGGCCACGTTCTGGGCTCAGGAGCTGCTCGGGCACCGGGAAGGGCAACGTCTGCCTTAGGGCCGCACCGTGGGCACATCCTTAAGGAACTAACGTGCCAGGGAAAAGGTGACCGTTTTCACAATATGTAAGAGCTGAAAGTAGAGAAAAGTTAACCTTTTTAATATACTTTCTCCTGAACAAAGTGGAAATGGATTTTAATCTTTTAAATTGGGAATTCAGGAAAATGCCAGCAAAGATGAAGACGTTCTTTGTGAACCAGCCTCCCCCTCTCGTCAGCGCCGCGGGTTTGCACATCCTGCTGGTGTCACCGTCACCGGGGCGCGTTCCCCCTCGCGGGTACCCGGGCAGGCCAGGCCCACGTTTGGCCAGGGAGCGCTGCAAACCTCCCGGGACAGCGAGGTTGGACACTGCCTCTGCAGAAACCTCAGCCCGCACAGCCCATTCCCACAACGGGGCTCCACGAGGGAAGGTTTCTGCAAATTTGACAGCCTGTGTAAGATCTGAATAGTGCGAAATATCCACTGGGCTAGAACACCAAATTTTGAAGCCCATAGTGATTTTTATTACCTAATGATTTAATTGAAAAATTATTTCCTTTTTAGCATTTTATCCTTTATGTGTTTAAATTTTTTCTCATGCATTGCTGGAAAAACATACTTATTATAGTTATAAGAAATACTTATAAAAGTGCTTTTAGTCTGGCAGCTCCCACTTATACAGTCAGCGATAACTCTTGTGGGCCACTGAGAGCATCAGAACATTGAAGGCAGATTAATACAAGTATTTTCTGGCACATTTCTCTCATTAAAACTACTGTAAGCTTAGGCACTGCCCTAACGGTGGGAAAAGAGAGGGGAAAAAGTCAGAGTACCAATAAATGAAAGCGTGTTTCCAGTTCATCATCCACATTACAGAAAATGCTACAGTTCTCATCTTCGATTGCAACGTTTGGAATGAGGAATTACACTTTATTTATATTCATCTTCCTTTCAAACATATTTAGGGATTTTTTAAAAGTTATTACTACAAATGATAGCTTTTATTGGGGGTAAGAAAATCATCAAAACAAAGAGCAAAAGCCTGTGTTAAAAAACACTTAATGACCAGTGATAGAGCAAGAAATCTGCCTACCTTGTCTTCAGAATCTCTTTTGGTGTCAGCTTTGCTTGGGGAGACCTTAAATATACATGAGAAAATAAACAGTTACACCCAGCTCAATCCCTCAGAAGAAATGAGTTTGAAAGTTCATCTATTCGCTTGAAACTAGCCGTATTTTCTATCACAAGGTAAAAACTGCATAAAAATGAACTTTCAGAAATGTTCAAGGTTTCAGCATTCGAAGGACGTGCCTGTTGAGACATGTGAAAGACCCAGGACAGCTAAATGCCTCCAGGCCTGGAAGTGACTCTAAGAGCAGAGGAAGTTCTCTGAATAAACCGTCATTTACCAAACTGAGCTATGTCTGCACATCTCTCAATCTCAGATCATTCTTTAAACCATCTGTTCAGCTTCATAACATCCTTGGTGCCTGCAACAGTGAGCGTGTGGCATTTAGCTAAGTATGTCCACATGGAATTTCTGTAAGTCCTCTTAATTTAAAGCATGGCTAGAGATGAAAACTAAAAACTTACCAGTGTTTTAAGGAAACTCATGACAGAATTGTCGTTGTCAAGTGCAGCAGCTGCTTGAGGGTTCTCCTGTTTTACCTCTGCCCTTTCAGGTTGCTCAGTGCCGGCACAGTTGACACCTGCTGCGTCCTGCTGAGTGTCCTTTTGGTTGCAGTCATCTATCTCCTAAAAAAGAGGGCAGTTTCTTCAGTTCTGGCTTGCTTAGTTTCCAGTGGAATGTAAAAGTAACATTTGTGACTTGCATTATGTTGCTCGCAGTCACAACCCTAATTCCAACCATACTTCTCCAGCCTACATGTTTAGAACAATTGAGCGTTTATTCATCTTTCCCCTCTTTTCTAATATATTCAGCATTTGCTGTTGGAGGAACATTGTTCCTAGCTATGAATTATCAGAACCACCAGCAGAGCTGCATTTTGCATCCCAGACACCACCACTTTCTTTTGAGCAAGGCAGAATTTGTGAATAGGACCAAACACTGATTTGGGCTTTTGATGTCTCACTGTCTGAATGTACCATGCAAAGACTGGTTCAGATACTCTGTGTTCTGCAATTCCAGAAATAATTTTTATCTAGTAAACAAACATGATTCAAGTTAAAGAAAAGCACCAACTCAAACATGAGTAATTTGTTTGAGCCAGATTCAGAGAGAGAGCTGTAATCAGATTTACCAAACCTAAAACTGTTTCGGGGCTCAAGCACTCATGTAGACGATATTCTTAAGGTTACTAATTTTCTCTTTAGACACCTATGGAGGATCCTGTGTTTTAAAGAGACTTTTGGGCCTAGGTGTTGGCACAAGTGCAGAGAGCTCAGCACCCCTTCACACTCAGCTTGCTGCTCCGGCCACTTCTTTCCTCAGCCTGCACAGGTAAAGCTAATGCAAACTTGGTGCAGAATAACATTTTGATACTTCTTCAAATCCTTTTTAGCATTTCGCTTTTTAATATTCCAAGAACACAAAATCTGGCTACCTCCAAGTTTGTTATCAGTAACACCCCTTCTCCTCCCTTTTCTTTATCTGTCCTATTGTAAACTCCCAAGGGCTGAATCTATCAATTATTATTAGAGAAGCAAACTGTGAGCGTTGATTTTGGTAGGGGTTTGAGACATTCCTGAATGAGCAGTCATTAACAACAGCAGTAGCAAATGAACAGCCCAACCACCGAAACAGCCCATGTATCTGCTCACTTCAGACACGGCACTAGAGAAGCAGTTGGGCACTAGGAAGCTGCAAGCCCACATTACTGGAAAGGAAAAACAGAGACCAGAAAAACAGAGTTTGAGTTTGTCCATTTGTCAGTGGTTCAAAATACTGTCTCAAAAGACTGCTTAGACTTCTAAATGATGATAAATATATATATACATTTAGCACCAATTAGACATGCTTGTTCAGTGCCATTTTTATTAGAGGATTTTAAAGCTGTACCCTGGAGAACCTTTCCCTTTACTGAGGGATTTAAAAATCAGCATTTGTATGGGATTTACTTAGAACAGGTTTCTGTAAGTAACTCTGGGAGGGAAGAGCCTAAACATGTAAAACTCACAGTTAAACCTTCAAAGGGCTAGTTTGGCGCCAGGAAACACGTGCACAGAAGGAAGGGCCGGGCTCCCTGCAGCACGGAGGGAGTTAAAACCGCAGTGTTTTACTCACAAGAACAGAATTCTTGTCTCGCTCTCTACCCACCATTCCCTGGCCGTGCCCAGCAAGGAGGCAGCGCTGGCCGAGGAGCCTCCACAGGCTGCTCAGGAGCTTCTCGGAAGGGCCACGTTGTGCAGCTCCCAGCCGGGGCAGAGCCGCTGCAGGAACGGCCTGTTCGTTGGGCCGGGCCGGCCCCTTCTCCCAAGGGTGCCACCCCAACAGCTCTGGTCACACGCACAAGAAATGCTGCCTTTATTTCAGATATTAAAAGGGCACCAAAGCAAGAGGCAAGGCAGTAGAGAAGCAGGAGGCACATACGTTGCTAAACAAAACTAACTTGTCATAAAGTCCTGATTCTATACAACTCAGCAGCAGTGGGTCAGACATTTAGCCTGAATTCTTCCTTTCACGGGAGACATTTGCATATGCAGATCTATGTATGCATTTGCGTACACATATACACACACACACATAGAGGGGGTTGCAGAGGCGCCAGTTCTCAGCATTGCAGCAGTACCTGTCCCGGTGCCCCTCGCTCCTAGGTGCCCCTCGCTCCCTTGCCCAGCAGATGTGAGCAGTGGTGCCAGGGGCAGCGCTCGAGGCATCGCCCAGCCCTCAGCCTGAGCGCAGGGCACCCAGCGCAGCCCCAAACCACCCGCTGCCCTCGGGGCTCCCACGCCGAGAGCCCCGAGCCAGGGCTCCTCTTGCAGCCCCTGCCTGTGGAGATGCCACTCAGACGAGGTGGCCTTTGCTAGATGCCGTGATCCACTTTGGGCTCCCGTGGGAATACGGCGGTAGGAGGGAACGTGGGTTGAGGCGCTCGGGGTGTGAACGAGGGAGGGAGAACGTGGAGCCTTGCAGCCCCCGGGGTTCAGAGCCACAGTTAGCAACCACAGCAGCCTCTGGAGCAGCCGCTCAATCTGCTGTGCAGGGCCCTAGAGACAAATAGGAGTGAAGGAAAACTCCAGAAACAACCGAGGAGAGTCCGCATTGGAAGCTAGCAGATCCTCTGTCAGTGTTCAAATCATGTCTTTTGGGGTATTAGACACCTGAAATTCTTATACTGTAATTTTAATTCAGTCATTAGAGAACTTTATCAAAAGCACATATTCTTGCCAGCACTTTTGTTTGTGTGAATCACGGCTCAGAGAAACATTTCAAGCATATAATTTATCTTTTCTTTGGCTTAAATAGTAAATGCTTCATGAATTCATGAATTCTGTCCTTGTTTTAATTATGCTGTGTTCTGAATGTAGTTTTGTAGACCACAGAAAATAAAGACTGGTTCACCAAACACAGAATGTTTGTGCAGCTCCTAAGCTGCAACTGCAGAGCCTCTCTCTTACCAGCAACACTGTTTGTTATGTGTTGGCACAAAATTCAGGGAAACTTTGCTTTAGCTCTTATAAATATTACAAACCATAATCCACCAAAAACAAGAAAAATCTGTGTTGGCAGCGATATCTGGATTTTTTAATATGATTATTATTTGGTTACAGTTTGCAGTTACTACAGTAACAGCAATTAAACTAGAAGCTGTTTGGTAAATCAGATGGAATCATTCTCTCATCCTACATGAGAAGTAGCAACTTTGTAGGGAACAGAGAGCAACTGTGCTGGAAGGCAGAGCCAATGCCTTTGTTTAAAACAGGAGTTAAGGCAAGTTTGGCAGTGTGTCACAAGTGCTTAGTCAATATATTCTTGCCAGGAAAGGTCTTAACAGCCTCCTCCCCCCCAACACACACACATTTATGAGGGATAAAAGACAAAAGACATGCTGAGGAAATTAAAGATAAGCTTAAAATTCCATGCCCCATCATGGTCCTGCCACTGTCATTTACACCAAATAATGTAGTCCCTGATTTTGTGAGCTCCCAAACACTTTCAGCCTCTTGGAGCCCGTGTGTGAGGACTGGACGGGGCATTTGCTGAGCGGGAGACTCGTCCAGCAGCAGTCCCGGGCGTCGAAGGCTGTTGTAGGGCTGGGACCCTGCAAATACCCACGCACAGACCGGGGAGAGCCTGCGATTACCACATTATTCCCATTAGCAAAGCTTAACATATGGACAGGTATGAGGTGAAGATTGGAGCAGAATTCGGAATGAATAGGAAAATGAGACATCACTGTCATAAAAAAAGAGATCTGAATGAACAATAAAAATGTTCTCAGTATTTGTTTGAACAAGGGAAGAGGGACTGAACTTTCTTCATTGCCTCTCTCTGCCCTTTGACAGTTGCTTGGTACATCAACTTGCACATTCTGTATTTTGCGGTCACAACAAAATAAGAAATAAATTATAAATTTTGCCTTTGGTTGCAAAAGTAGCAGTTTTGATGACTCACAGGCAAAACTTATCTTTCATGTGTACTTAAAATCCTGCAAATGTTTTGTTTATGTTGAAAGCCTTCAGTCTGAGTGACCATAGAGAATGGCACTATGCACCGAGTAGATTATTATTTACACGGCTCTCTACATAGTGAATGACTTGAGATGCTAGTAGGCTAATGCTATAGGTTCTTGAAGTGCAAGTATATAGCTGAGATGCCTGTGAGGGGTGCCACTTTTGGAAGGTAACAGTCCAAATTGCAAGTGTTCTCACTCTAAAACCAAACTTCAGGGAATTCAAATCGGTGAGAGTGGAAATGTTCAAATTTGAGCAGAAGATAGAGCAGCTTTGCTAGAGGAATAGAAAGCAGAGAAGCCTTTAGAGAAAAGCTGAGGTGATGCCAGGGCAGAAGGTGCCTCCTGCCTGTGCTGGGCGCTAGCGAGAGGTGCTGCTCACACAGCAGCATTGCTGGACGGGCTGCACCACGGGCCTGGAAAGCAGGCTCGGTTAGTGGCCCACGCTGCTCGGTTAGTGGCCCACGCTGCTTGTTCCCCCTCCTGCTCCCCGGATTAGCCCGCATTTGAACTAGACCAGCAAGGGGTATGAATTGACTGTGCTCCCGTAAACCAACGACAGTTATGCCACTTTGCCCAGGAAACTGCCTTTTTCGGTAATGTAGTGATTTTAATATTAATCATGTGGCATATTTGTCTTTCTGGCAATTTTGTCATGCTGATGGTCCTGAATAAATAACAAATTCAGTAATACCTGACTTTCCTCCATTGCTGTCTCCCACTCTGCATTAGATGAGACAGCATCAAACGTAACGATGGGTTGTGAGCTGCAGAGCAGCCACAGGTGACAGTGCAGCTCCGTGCCGTGCGGTTGAGCACACTGAACTCTAAATTAAACCACTGCTTCCCGTCACTAGCGTGCCAACTTACCCACTTTTTTGCTTTGCTTTCTCCTACTGTAAAATCATTTCTAAGAGCTATATTATTCCCTTGACAAAAAATAAATTAAAAAAATACAAACTTGCAGTAACTGTGGGTATCAAAAATCATTATTGCATGTTATTCTTGATTCTGCTACATAGGCTATGCAACAAGCAGCTATTGATCTAGAAAGGTATCTTATTATCATGACAAAAAAACATGCCAAAGCGTTTTAGATCATCCAGTGTCAAGCTCCAAGCTCCTAAACCATAGGATTAGGATTCCTGCCAGCATTTTGGTTTCCGTTCATAGCCAGCTGCTGTTTGTCGTCCAGACTACTGGAGCACGAACACAGCTGAACTTTTTGTGGAAGTACAAATGAACTTGAGCTCCAGGCCAGGTGCCGGCACTTAGGAGCAGACACCAGAGCCGACTCCTCTGCCAGAGACGCCTCTCCCAACCCTTCGGGGGCTCCTGCCTACGAGTTAAGGGTATCACTGCTCCATCCGTACAGGCATCCTGACACCGAGTTGTCCTGCACCTCGCATATTCCTAAGAGACTTCATTAAGCATGAAATGGATATTCCTGTTCAAACACTTGCCTGCCCCTGTGGGACACTTCTTGACGTGCTCTGTAATCCGACAGCCTCTTTTGCCAGGATGCTTCCGTCAGCAGTGTCTGCAGCCTGCCCTTCCTCTCGGGTATCAATTTGTGTGTTACTCCTTTCCTTTTTCTTCTCCAGTTTGAAGATTCTGTCAAAAAAGGTTACTTGTTTGGGCTCCGCCCCAGCCGCATCCTCTCCCTCAGGTGTCCCCGGTGCTGCGAGTGCCTCTTCCCCGCGCGCTGCGGCAGGAGGGGCCTGGGCCAGGTTTTTATGGGAGCGTCGCTCCGGCGCAGCTGCCGCGGGAACCTCCGCGCTTTGACTCGCGCCTTTGTTCGCCCCGGCCGCCTCGGGGCTGACATCAAGTTTAGCGGATCCAGCTGATGAATCTGGAGCTTGATCTTCAGTACGCCCTGGTACAGGCCATGAAAACGCAAAGACAGAGCGGGATTTAGCAGATGGCATGGCTTGCTTGGCACCGTTCCCCGGATTCTTTCCGCCTGCATCGGGAACAGAGCTTATCTCCATTGTCTTCGGGGAAGAAACAGCCACATTATCCCGTGCAACACTTGCCTTTGCATCCACTACAAACAGAAGCATAAAACAGTAATTATCCACCACAGCAAAGAAGTTATACTAGTAGTACAATTAATCATGGTGACCCCGCTCTTTAATAAACTAATTCTGAAACGTGCAGCCTCAGGGAAGACCACACACTGTGTAACTTCTTTAAAGATCCTATTGTTTCGCTATTCAAAAAAATGAGCTGCAGCTCATCTCTTGAACCTGCCTGTCTGATTTCTTTCCTCTCTGCTCTTTCTCATTGAGGTCAGTGCAAATTCTATGTTCTCTGCCCTGCTGTTGCAGTGTCAGTGGCTGAGGTTTGACTACTTGGTTGAGCAGGCACACAAAAAGCAATGCCAATGAACTCGGAATCTTCATTGTTTTAATTAGGTGGACTAGAGGATTCTGTTTTATTTTTATTTATTTATTAATTAAAGAGCGATATGCAAAGATTGTTGATAATGCTTGAGACAAAGTTATATATTAATAAAACACTTTCCTCTGTGAAAGCTAAATGGGAGTAGAGAATGGAAACACAGGAATGATTTTGTTTCCTGGCTTGCCAAATTCCCCAAAGGACTTTGTAGCCATAACTTCTTTTATTCATTTTTCCAACACTGTTTCTTGCCTTGTTGCAGCCTTACTACAGTACCGTTTCTCCTTGCACCTTTCTTCTCTTGTCTATATTTTAGTGCCAATCTAATTTGAACAGCTTAGGTCAAACTTGAACTGTGTTTTATATCCTTGTATTTCTGACTTTTTACCCACAAGCAATATGTCTAATAATATTTTTCCCCCAATAACATTCTCAAAAATAGTTTTCCATTGCGTACACATGACCATCATACTTCAGAGGTGAAAAAATTCCATCATTTTAAGACTTAATATTTCAGTGGCACTTTGATCACAAGTGAGATGAAACTCCCTAGCACTGGATAGGCAGACAGGAGAAGGGCTGTGTTTTTCAGAAGACAAACAAGAGGCAGAAGAAAGAAATCTCTTATATCTATTTTGCACATGGGAGACTGAATCACAGACATATTATGTAGTTCGAAACCCCAGTAAACAAGAGAAGCCTTGTAGAGAGGTAAGCACTACAGCTTCCCCTCGGTTCAGCTTTTCTTCTTTACATTTTACTGGAATATATGTCTGGTTTCACTGTCAATCATCCCCACAGCATGAATTTGGATCTAATTATAACCGTGCAACACTGTCAATCTCAAACTGACTTGTTAAATTAAAATTTAAAAATTGTCAGATTCAGTGTGAAACTGAAATTACTTCAGATAATTGTAACTGTCTTCAGTCAATATTATGCCCTTCATACGTCACTGTATATCAGAGATGAAACCCTACTTTCCAATAAAATTTGACTAAAATGCCTTTCATAATACTGATTCAAAGTTCATTTAAAAAAAAATCTTTTAAGATAAGAAATGCCAAATTTTAGATCACAGATTTCAAACCTGCCAGTTATATTTTGCAGCAAGATTACACCAACTCAGTAACTTTTCCTCTGGGATTTATCATGCTAGTCTATGTGCCGGCATTAAAAGCGATGACCAGTATGTTGTGCTCCCTTTCTTATTATTGTCCTGTAATGGTGCTGAGGGGCCGCGGTCATGTCCCTGTGCAGAACCAGACCGGAGCCAGCTACAGGTAACTTTTTGATCACCACTCTTTATCATTTAAGGCCACTAAGTATCAATCCTTAGACTTGTGGATTACTATACGAAAAAGGACTGAAGCACCAGTTACTTCATAGCTGGAAACCTGGGAAGCAAGCTTTGGAAAAGCAAACAGGGACATGCAAGGCAATCCCAGAAAAAAGCAAATGTTTCGCCCTTTAGCTTCTCCACTCCTAACATTTTTATTCTGGAATTTGCCTTTTTACTGTGTTTTGCACATATGCGAGCGCACGAAGAGGGCCAAGTGCCTGAGTACCTCCTGTTCTGTTCAGGTAAGTAGATATTCATTTCTTTGTGCACGCTAATGGGCAGTTTTTCTTCCCTGGATTCCCTTTTTGCTATTCATGTGAAAAAGTGACTCATGTGGCAAGAATTCCCATTGTCAGAAATACTCAGTATGCACCTATTTGAACATACTGGCACTCAAGAGAGATACAGGTAACTTTTTGATCACCACTCTTTATCATTTAAGGCCACTAAGTATCAATCCTTAGACTTCTGGATTACTATACGAAAAAGGACTGAAGCACCAGTTACTTCATAGCTGGAAACCTGGGAAGCAAGCTTTGGAAAAGCAAACAGGGACATGCAAGGCAATCCCAGAAAAAAGCAAATGTTTCCCCAAGCCAGAAAAAAACAGAAACAATATCCATTGGAAAATAATTGTAACAGATACACAACTTCTGTTGTATGTCATAGATAAAGTGAAACACAGGAAAGCTGTATTTAGTATAAAAATAGGTATGTAAGCTCATCATTAAGAAAACCAAACAAAAAGAGGCTCATGAACCGATCAAAATCCTTTTATCTCTAATTGTCGTGGAAGGAATGAAAGACCTGGAAAATATCACTGGCATGAGCTCTGCAGCATGTCTCTTGTGTCAAAACAGTTCAAACTGCTTCAGAGAAAGTCTGCTCAGCCACCAGGCAGAGCAGATCCCACCACTAGAGAGGAGTCATTATTGTGGTGGGCTGAACAGAAGAGTTTGACTCATGCCATATTCAGAGAAAGCTGAAGAAAACAGATTTTAAGATTGCAGTGTTTGGATGAAAATGTTCCAGTTTTGACAACATCATTCAACCTCTCAAAACATTTCATTTCAGCCTTTTTTGTTTCCACAAAGTCTGTTTCATTTTCATTAAGAGTCGCTACCGTTGCTTGTAAATGAACAAAGATGTCCACAAAGATCTGAGAGGATCTTCACAAGTGTCTGTTTGCAACTGATTCTCTTCCGAAGCAGCTGAGTGAAGCTTAATTCACCTCGCAGTGAATTCACTGGCCCTTGAACCCTGGCTATGGCAGAAAACCCAACTCCCAGCGCCTTCCTCTTCTCCAAATTCCATCTATTTTAGAGCACTCTAGTCCTTATGGCCCAAACACAGCTTCCACTGTTTCGCCTCTGTCACTGCCACTTGTTGCATTTATTCATATCGAAACAGCTACAAGCCAGACAGCTGAAAGTGGAAGAAAGTTATTTTTTAGAGAGCCCATGCAATTCCCTCCAAGATTACTGAGAAATCCAGAGGCAGTCAGGAATGGAAACAAAACTCCTACATCCTGGGCCAGTTGTTCAAGTAGATCAAACCCACTCACTTTGAATGAGGTTAGTCTGAAGCTAAAACTCCATGCACAGTTTACAGCACTGCTGTGAGACTGCATTTCACACCAGCACACAGACATTATCCTATCGACTATCTAACACCAGACATTCTGAAAATGAGTCGAGAGGACATTAGCTAAAAACATGGTTAGCAACTCTGGCTATTTTGAATACAAGCCAATTACTAGCAGGTATTTGGTTTAGCCATGCAATTATAGCAATGCAGCAGTATCTAGTTCCTAGCAGCTCACTGATAATTAGAGACAAGAGACTTTAATGGCCATGATGGAGCCATTAAGGGCTACAGGCAGCATTTGGCACTATAAAAAGTCCATCAGTGTAGACTAGCTTGATGGGCCTATAATAGCTCTGAGCAAGTTACTGCAGTGAATACTGCATTTAAAGAAAAAAAAAAAGAATACCTAGTTATAGCAAAGTGATTTTTTTCTACATAACATTTCTGATCTATTTTTATATATACTTACTGGGCAGTTTTCTTTCCTTCCAGTATTCCCAACTGAGTTGTTGTCATAACACTAAGGTAGATAGAAAATTCTAATCTCTAAATACATATAGTACTTGTGTGGGAGATATGCCAAAATGCTTCACAAAGTGATTGCGAGGAGGCTAAGTGACTTGGAGTTTTCAGAATGATTACAGCACTCTGAAGTAAGGCCATCTCCCCCTGTCCTAACAAAACCTGCACTGGTATTCCTTTGTAATCTTGCTTGGCAGAATTTCATGCAAATACTGGTGAGGGTACATTAAGGCTCTCAGAACAGTATTGTTGTACTAAATTAATTAGCACTGGTATTTACCTGAAGCATTTACTGAAAATAATTAAGACAGAGAAAGAGAAAGGAGCAGAAGGATGGCAATAAGTATTCTTAAAAAGAATCCATTGCATTTCACACACTGCATGCACAACAGTGTTATTGCAACACAGCCATTTCTTTCACATAGCAGCTGGTAGCAGAATTTGCTCGATCAGATTTATTCTCTGAACATCACAGGAACTGCATCATAATTGAACTTTTCTTCCTGTGTGATATTTCTGTTCATGAACATTGTAAATCAGGTCACTGTTTCAAGCATCTGCCTATAACAACAACCCAAAGACATTCTTCAAATCTTGTCTTGCTAACCCTGATAATCTAATCCCAGAGATACGCTGCTGTTAGTTCTGCCTTCCTTCTCCGATTCTGCAGTACTTTATTACTTGTGTTTCAAAAGGTAGGTTCGTTAGGTAAAGCTTCATTAGCTTCATTAGGTAATGCACGATCTAATTTGCCATCCTTTCTCTTGCGAAACAAGGTGTCAGGAAGCAGCAGTAGGGCAGCACTGCTGTTGAAATGATTTTAGGGGAGGAAAAGCTGGATGTTACCACAACCTGATAATCAATAGGAGCAGGAAAGGCAAGTAATGCCAAGAACCCCCGAGCCCGCGTGTCAGCCTGTCTGAGCAGAAGCAGCAAATGCAGGAACCAGTCACCAATCTGCTCACCCAGATGTGGAGCAGATGGTGATGGGGCTCTTCCAAATAGCATGACTTCCTCTGGTCAGATTAAGTTAACTCTCTGGATTCTTTTTTCCCCCGCTATATTAGCAGATATAGGTTTCATAGACTCATTCATCAATCGTCCTGTTTAATGCACAGCACATGGGCAGGTCACTGGCAATCAGGGAAACTCAGACTAACAGGACAGAGATTACAAATATACATCCAACATTATTAATGAAATCCTCTT